GGCCGGATCCGCCGCGCGGTTGAGGCGGGCAGGGGACCGGGTGCACGGCCCAGCGGGGCAGGGGTGGCGTCTCCCGGGCGGCACGCTTGGCCCCTGCAGGGCGACTCGAACCGGAGCCCTCTTCCATGCTGGACCCTGCAGGGAGGCCGCGGCATGCCCCAGGGCATCGCTCGGGTGGGTGGTTTCAGGAGCAGACCACACAGGGCCGGCACCCGCACACCTGGCTTCTCTTCCTGGCTCTGCCACTGGCCTCTGGGTGACCTTGGGCAAGTCACCGCACCCCTCTGTGCCATGGTTTGGGCGACTCGAACCGGAGCCCTCTTCCATGCTGGACCCTGCAGGGAGGCCGCGGCATGCCCCAGGGCATCGCTCGGGTGGGTGGTTTCAGGAGCAGACCACACAGGGCCGGCACCCGCACACCTGGCTTCTCTTCCTGGCTCTGCCACTGGCCTCTGGGTGACCTTGGGCAAGTCACCGCACCCCTCTGTGCCATGGTTTCCCCATCCACATTGCAGGGGTGATTGTGGTGACCTCCAGCCCAGGCCTCGCCAATGAGAGCCACGGGAGGGAGGGGGCCCTGGCAGCGTGCTTCCTTCCTCCAGCTGCTCTCCATTTCCGTGGCCTAGATTCCCATCCCTTGCCCTCCCTCACTACAGCCCCCGCTCTTCTGGGGCAGGAGGTCGGGCCCTCGGCTCCTAGCACCAGGGAGGCCAGCTCGTGACGCTCGCACACGCGGCCTGTGCGCACAGGATCCGCTCTGCAGCGGTGACACTGGGTGCGATCCTTTCCCGGCCCCCGGACTTCAAGGCAGGAAAGGGTGCAGCATCCTCCCCGGCTTCTGGGAGTGTGGGTAGCCTTTCATTATCCCCTCTCTCGTGCCTCAGTTTCCCTGAGAGAGGACCGTCCAGGGTCTTGCTAGTCTGCTGAGGCACAGGTGCTGTGTCGGAGGCAGAGAGGGCCGGTTTGCATCCTGCGATGTCCACAGCAAAGGGAGCAGGCCACAGAGGCAGGGCTGGGGGGTCAGCGAAGGAAGATGGTCGTGGGGACCATCCAGGGACGCAGGCATGAGGAAGAGCAGACCGACTCCACAGCCCGGGCCTGGAAATCCCAAATGCAGCTGCCCCACCTTTGCTGCCCAACAACCCAATGCCCTTGTGTCCGTGTCTCGGATGTCGTCCGGCACGGGGGCAGGAATCAGAGCAGCTCTTTGTGGGGGGATGACTTCGTGTGGCCCCTTTTGCACTGGGAGCGAGTTTAGTGCAACATAGGAACAAGCGTGTCCTCAGCGCAGCGACTCCGTGCCAGCCGCGGAGCGCGTTTCATCGAAAGGCTCCAAGCAGCATCTGGCCCCGATTGCCCTCATTCGAATATTAAAAAGTGCGTTGGATCCCGTTTAGATCCGGCACTCAATAATTACATGTTCTAATTACACAATTAGCACAATGCATGCCTGTCGGGTGCTCCCGTTTCCCCGTGCAGCTTGCACACGTCCGTGGAGGGACTCTGTCACAGCCCCTGGCTTGCTATGGAGCTGTCTGGGGTTTGCGAGGTCTAAAAAGCTGTAAGTCTGGGCCCTGCTGCAATCCTAGGGCCAGATGCTCAGCAGGGTAGATCAGGAGAGCGCTGCGATGCTCTGGTTTTGGCCTGGAGCTCTCCGAAGGGATTTGCCTAAAGCAGGGGGCGTAGGCAGGTCCGTGGGCAGGTCCTGAACCGGGCACGCCGCCGGGTTCGCCACGTGAACGGTGGCAAGGCCTCCACCTCCCCAAAACCCCGGGAAGGCAGGCAGGTGATGAAGATGTAATCTGACATTTTGATTAGCTCTCACCTCTCCACTAGAATAACTTTTATCAGCAACACGTTTTCAATGTGTTAAACACAGTGGCGATGTTCAGGGTAAATTAATTCCGGTTTGAGCTGCTGCCGAATCCCAGCGTGGCTCTTCTCCAGAGTCATGTAAAAACCAGGATATTCATGTCAGGATCCGGAGGCCCGGCCAGGCCGAGATGCGCTGGAGGAACGGCTCGGCGGGTGGCTTTGCCTGGCAGTCGGCCGGACTGTGCCCTATTCTGCTAGCGACGCCTTTGCTGGCGAGACCCCGGCTCTGTCTGCGCCCTCCGCCTGTCTCACCCCTTTCAATTTGCTACGGGCGGTTTCTCCAAGGGCTCCTCACCCAGGCACCCCAGCTGGGATTTGCAGCGAGCCCGCTGGCACAGTGTGGGGAGGTCAGCCTGTTCTAGCAATCAGCAAAGACATGTGAGGGCGAGGGGTACGCAAGCCTTTTCCTAACCCCATCCTCGACTTCCCTGGAGTCGAGCAATATCTCCTGTTCCCTGCTTAGCAAACCTCACCAGTCCCGGGCAGCCCCTGGTTCCCGGGGCCCGTTCCAGCTGACGCTGGGCTCGGTGCTGGGAGAGAAATGCCTCCCGACTGTTGCGCTCGGTAGGTCGCCTGTCCGTGCTCGGCCCCGAGTCGATGGGTTTAAAATCCTTCCCCAATGCAGCAGGACGTTGAAGCACCTCCTCACCTTTCAGGGATCCCACAGGAAGTCGGGAGGCTGGATGCCTTGTTCAGAGAAGCCTAACGCTTCTGCTAGGCTGGTGTGGAGGGGTACAGGACCCCTGGAGAGCTGGGGGTTATGTGGGCCTGGATCGAAGCCCCAGGCCTTGTTTGCATCCTTTCATTTTCCAGGCCATGTCTTGCCTGGGATGGAGGCAAGCCCAGGCCAGGCAGGCTTTCCCTTGCGCACGCTTGCCTGGGGCTGCACAGAGGCCGCGTCCCCAGCACGGGTGAGCCAGGCTCCTTCCTCCCTCGCGGACGAGCCCCGGGGTGGGCACTGGGGAGCAGAGCCCTGCAAGCCAGCCCGGACCCCCCTGCTCCCGAGCTTCTTTGTGGCAAGGGCAGCCTGCTCCCGACGGCGGCAAGGGGAGCAAATCACGCCGGCGTGTCCCTAGCCACACCTGGGCATCGTGCTTTCCCTCCCCTTTCACCTGCCTTGTCCTGCACTCGGATGATCCTTCGCCCATCCATGCACCCAGCTTCTGCCCCGAGCCTTGCGCAGCTCCTTGGCTCCAGGAGAGCCCAGCGGCTATCCAGGAGTGAGTCTGGCCTTGTGATTTATTCCAGCAAGCCATGTAGGAGCCTGAAGCGCAAGGCGAGTCCTGTGCTACCCCTGCGTCCCCTCCCTGCCACCCTGGGGTGGCGGGTCCTCTCCTGGGACCACCCATCCTATGGCTGCGTGCATCACCTAGCAGGCTCAGGGCACTGCCCCTGGTACCACGAAGGAGAGCCGCCCATGTGCCGGCTCATGCCTGGCTCGTGGCGGGACGGTGGGACCAGGGCAGATCGCCTGCACAGGCCCAGCGCGAGCAATGGAGGCGAATGCTGCAGGGACCCGCAAACATAAATCTGCAAACGCTCAGCGCCTGGCAAAGCAATCGGTCGCTTGCTCGCTCTCCCGGTTACTGTTTACTTAGCGCTGCAGGTAAATGAGCTGTGTGTGCTGGGCAGAGATATGACCCTGCCCCTCGGCCGAGGCAGCCGGCCCCCGTGTCCTCATAGGAAATAGCTGGAATTCTTCGGGCTGCCGGGCAAGGGCCGGGAACAAAAGGCCGGCGCACTCAGCTGTTTCCAGTTTAACTCCTCTGCCCTCTCCTTGCGCCTCTCCCGGGGAGGGGGGCCTGGCCATGCTGGGGGAGCAAAGCATTGTGGGATGGTTTTGCTGAGCGACTTCTTGGAGCCCCCCCCGGCCAACCGAGGCCTGGGCCCCCGGTCAGGAGGACGAGCATGTGCCTGCACAGGCCGGCCAAGCGGGCTCAAGGGCACGGCGGGGGGAGCCTTTTCCCTTGGCCGTGGGAGCGAGCCGAGGGCAGCGTGCAGCCGTGTCCCACATGCATCTGCCCTTCGCGGTGGTTCAAAGGCATCGCCCCCTCCCCTTAGCCTTGCATGCTGCAGTGCAAGGTGCTAAGAGCCCAGCTGGCCTCAACATGCCTGGAGTCGCGGCGCTCAGCCCAGCCTGCAGCCGCTGTGCCCGGCTCCCCCAGGAGACTTGCAGAGCACGCACGGTTCGCCAGAACCCTCCCCCGATTCGTGCCCCGTTCGGGACGGCGGGAGGGACTGACCCGGGGCACCTTGCAGCATCGCTACCGGCTTTGGGCTCGTGAGCCTGCCTGGCGTGGGTCCCCAGCCCACCACCCTCCCCGCAGGATGGGGTTTCCCAGACCCCGGTGGTGCCCTGCCGGTCCTGCGTGGAGACACGTCCTCTCCAGGATGCTGGCTGGGGGGCTCTGTGTCCTCGCGGAGGCCACGGGCGATGCTGCCTCCCGCCCGGCGGCTCACTGCCATCCGATTTCCCTGCAGGTCGAACCGGGATTGCCAGATCGACCAGCACCACCGCAACCAATGCCAGTACTGCCGCCTGAAGAAGTGCTTCCGCGTGGGAATGAGGAAAGAAGGTAGCAGGGCTGGTAACTTGGGAGGGGAGAAACTTAGAGCCACCTCTGAGCTGCTGTAACATCGTGGAGCAAACCGGGCCAGTGCAAACGCACCGGGGGACTCGGCCAGGTGCAAGGGGGTCCCTGCACCCCCGGCCGGCGTGCAGTACAGGCCGCGTTGGTACCAGAGCACACCAGCCTGCTGGGGCTTCGGGCAGCTGGTTAACAAGGGAGCTGGGCTCCCCTTAGGTTATCTGAGCTTGTTCCAGGGTGTTGCCCGGTGCCCGGCCCAGTGGAGCTAGTGTTCAGCAGCTGCTGGATTTGGGGGGCGTGCTGGCACTGGGATAAGGATACACAGACAGGTCAGGGATACCCCACCCTCCGCAGCACAGCTGCCCTCCCCTGCCCACGTGCACTGAGCCTTCCCTGCCACGCTGGGGTAGGCAGCGTGGCCGCAGCGCCCATCACGCCCCTTCTCCAGCCGAGCGCTCGGGGCAGGCGACACCGGCAGAGCAGGTGCTGTGTGTTTGGAGAGCCAAGGGCTGGCGCAGATAAGGGGACACACCTGGAGCCACGGACGCGGCCACGTGACGCAGGCGCTCGAGGTCACAGATGGGAGCTCCCTTGCCCTCCAGCACTGACTCAGCCCTGCGGCTGCTCCTCCTGCACTAGGACCTGAACCCAGGGCGCTTCCAAAGCGCCTCTGGGCTCCCGGCAAAGTCTGCGTCGTGTGGACCTGCCTGAGCCTGGGGGCAGCTTGTCTCGGGAAGCCCCGGATGCCGTTTCTAGGGAGACTCTGCCCATTCTGCCTCGTTACAGAGGCTTATCAACACCCCCGGCTCTGCAGTGGAGAAAGCCTCGTGCTCCAGGGCAGGGCAGGAATGAAGCCTCCCTGCGGTTCCTGGCCTTGCCTCCCGACCGGCTGCCAGCTCCAGCCCGGCAGGTCTCGGTGCTCCTCGCCCCACACAGTCTTTCCAAAGCAGCAGCTTGGGCCAAGGTTTTCAGGGCCAGCTCCTCTCTCCGAGCCCCCTCCCTTCTGCCTTCTCCCGCCTGCTGCGGTCAGGGAGCTCGGAGGCCGCAGGCGAGCCTGGCTGCTTGCTCTGGATACCCAGGAGGGCTCCTGGCGTCGGGGAGCACGCGCATCCATCCACAGGCGTGCCGGGAGAAGCTGGCAGGAGGGACGGACACTGCCGGTTACAGCAGCACTGCAGAGGCTCCTTCCAGCTCGTGTGTGCCCCTACCCCTCTGCACCCGCCACGCTTCACGCCCAGCCCACGGTGGCGTCAGCCCACGAGAGGCAGGGCCCCGGTGGTGGGCACTGGATGCAATGGGGCAGGGGAGCAGCGGGAACGGCCGAGCAGAAGGACGGTGCTCCCCGGGGCTGTCGGTCCCCGCTGGCTTTCCACCCCGGGCTGCTTTTGCAAGAGGACCGAGACATTCCTTGCTCCTCCAGTGATGCCCTGAGGCGGGTGCGGCCCGGCAGCTCTTCAGCGCAGGGGAGTGGGCCCACCACATCCCCTTCCACCCCGGCTGCTTTGAGCTGGGAGAAGTTGGGGCAACTCCAGAGCCTGCAGCAACCGGCGGGCTGTGTCTCAGACCGCGCCCAGCATCGCGGAGCTGCTTTGGCCCTGCAAGCCCTGCGGTACCCGGCGCTCACAGGGGCACGGCAGCCGGGAAGCCCTTGCTCAAGCTGCAGCTTATTAGTGTCTCTGCCCCTCCCCCAGCTAACGAGTCCGGTCTGTCTGATCACCAGGAGGCTAAACAGATTCATCTTGTTTGCGGAGGCAGCAAGCTGCCGTGTATGACGGGCAAAGTGCACGCCGCCTCCTGCGCCAGCTCTCACCTGCCCCCCGCCGCCTTGGCTCCGGGGTGGGGAGGACCGAGCTGGGCACCGAGGGACCCCGATTCATAGCCCCCCGCTGGCAAGAGGGGCCTTACGTAGCATGCTGTGGGTCTGTGCACGCTCCCTCTGGGTGTGGGTTTGGGGTGGGGATCCCTGGGTCCTTTGCCCAGCTCTGCCACCTGCCTGCTGCTCCGTGCCTCAGTTTCCCCACTCATGTGTTCCCTCGTCTCTAAGCGTCGGGTTCGTCCGGGCAGGGCTGTATCGTACGTCTGTGCTGACGGTGGGCATTTGAGGCACCGGCCCGGACTCTCACCTGCGCCCTTTGCCTCCCCAGCCGTGCAGAGGGGCCGGATCCCGCCCACCCACTCGAACACCAGCCCCACGGCCATGCCCAGCGGGGAGTACTTCAACGGGCAGCCCGTCTCCGAACTCATCTCGCAGCTGCTGCGGGCTGAGCCGTACCCCGCCGCCCGCTACGGCTCCCAGTACGCCCAGCAGGGCAGCATCATGGGCATCGACAACATCTGCGAGCTGGCCGCCCGGCTGCTCTTCAGCACGGTGGAGTGGGCCCGCAACATCCCCTTCTTCCCCGAGCTGCCCGTCTCGGACCAGGTGGCCCTGCTGCGCCTGAGCTGGAGCGAGCTCTTCGTGCTCAACGCGGCCCAGTCGGCGCTCCCGTTGCACATGGCACCGCTGCTGGCTGCCGCCGGCTTCCACGCCTCGCCCATGTCCGCCGACCGCGTGGTCTCCTTCATGGACCAGATCCGCATCTTCCAGGACCAGGTGGAGAAGCTGAACCGGCTGCAGGTGGACTCGGCCGAGTACAGCTGCCTCAAAGCCATCGCCCTCTTCACCCCAGGTGAGCGGCACCTGCCTGCAGGTCGGGGCCCATGCGCACTGCACCGCCAGGGACTGCCCCTGCAGCCACCCTCTGCGGGGCATATCATTGCTCCTAGCTAATAGGTGGGGAACTGAGGCCTGGAGAGATACCAGAGCCAGGCTGACGAAGGGATTTAGGTGCCTCAGACACACACATGCCTTGGGATGGGGGGGAGTTTTGAAAGCACCCAGCTCCCCTGGGCTTTGATACCAAGCAGCTTCCCAGCCCCATGCCGCGGCTCTGCCCCAGAGCTGGGGATCAGGCTGCATCTCCTGCATCCCAGTACTGTAGGAGAGACCCCAGATCTGACCTGTGACACTGAAGACCCCTTGCACTAAGCAAGCAGGAAGGAGGGGCCAGGTCCCTTTTAGAGATCCCCCCCCCGAGCACCCTCACTCTGGGGCTAAGCCAGCTGTGCAGTTACCCTCTCCCCACCCTGCAGGGAAGATGAAGAGCCCCATGGGTTGGGCTTCATGCTGGGGAACCCCACTAGTGCATCCTGATGGTGGAACGGCGACCGCCACGCGGGGTGGAAGCCTTTGCTAGGAAGGGCAGGGTGCTGGCGTCCAGCGCACCCCGTCTGGGGAGCAAGGACAGAGCCGCGGGGAAATGCCCGGCTCAGCACCCTCTGCCAGATCGGTGGCAAACCTCTCGTGGTTTGCCACCTCGTTCCACGGCACCTGCTAACGCCCCCTTCCTCCCTCTGCAGACGCCTGCGGCCTCTCGGACCCGGTGCACGTGGAGAGCCTGCAGGAGAAGGCGCAGGTGGCGCTCACCGAGTACGTGCGGGCCCAGTACCCGTCGCAGCCCCAGCGCTTCGGGCGCCTGCTGCTGCGGCTCCCGGCGCTCCGGGCCGTGCCCGCCTCGCTCATCTCCCAGCTCTTTTTCATGCGGCTGGTGGGGAAGACGCCCATTGAAACACTAATCCGGGACATGCTGCTCTCCGGCAGCACCTTCAACTGGCCCTACGGCGCGGGGCAGTACGGACGGAGAGGCTGGCGGAGCCGCAGCCCAGCCCGGGCACTGCTGCTGCTTGCTCGGACACCGGCTCGGCCCCAGGCCCAGGCGTGTGCAATGTGCCCTGGGCAGCCCCCTGCAGCTGCCAGGCCTGGGAGTGAGACCCGTGCCCCCTTCTTCTCCCTCCGATGGAAACGAACAAGCAGCTTCCCCAGGCGTCGCCCATCCGCGCAGCAGGGATCAGCCGTCCGGCGGGGTGCTCCGTCTGTCTGGCGGGGGACATCTGTCTGTCTGGGACGCAGGCAGGGACAGCAGGCCAGGCTTTCCGGATCCTAACTGTTTTTACATCTCTTTCAAGATGAGGAGACCCCCTGCCCTGGCTCCCGGTTCCCGGCCTGGGATGGGATGGAGCCCACGGTCCCAGGGCCACCAGGGGAGACGGGTACAGGGATGAGGGCGTGCTGGCCTCACCCGCCTTTGCAGTTCATGCACCACCGAAGTCTCTGGAGCCAGGATGCATCCCCCTCCCCTGTCCAGGGGTAGGAGAGGAAGGTGGTGCCGATTCCAGGGAGGGGAATGGGCCTGAATGCAGCCCCGTCCTACTGCAAACACAGACTCAAGTGGGCACTAAGGGCTGGCAGAGGGAGGTCCTACTCTGGCCTCTCTGGGCTGCAGGGACCTCGCACCCAGCGCTCTGCCCAGCTGCCACCCGTGATGCAGTCCTCTGACCCTTGGGGAGGGGGTGTCCCCATCACGCCGGGGCATTTCCCTCCCCCCACAGCATGCATGAACCCCGCTGCCCCCCTCCAGCTGGTCCCTGGATCACGCAGGGGAACATGAGCGGCTCCGGCGGGCGTGGGAAGAGCCCTGCCTTTCTCATCTGCCGCTGCCGCCCCCTGCTCCCTTCTGCCGAGCTGTGCGGAGGCAGGGAGCTCTGGGAGGCCCCGGCATCTGCCAAAGCAGAGGACTATTGTGGGGAGGGGGAAAGCATCGCTGCCAGGCCAGCCAGGGACAGGGCTGTGCATGGAGCCCGTGCCGGGGGAAGCCGGCTTCCACCTGCCCCAGCTTCCCCTTGCCGGTCACGACTGGAGCTGCCCTGGTAAGAGCCGGTGCCAAGTCGGGCTGAGCCGGCTGCGGGAAGGCGCAGGGGCCCTGCCCGGCTGCACCCAGGCACGAGGAGCGCCCGGGCGGTCCGGGGTTTGCCGTGTCCATTGATCCTCTGAGAACGCCGTCCCGGTCGGATGCTTGGCAGAGGCACCCCCTCAATAAAGGCGTTTCGTACAAGGCGGGTGAGCTAGCGTGTGTGGCGGGGAGGAGGAAGGGGGCAGTCTGGGTGCTCCTGACCCCTCCTAGGACACCCCATTTCTCCGCCCACGACTGAGGCTGCTTGCGGTGAAACCGCTTCATCGAGTGACCCAGTGCGCGCCTTTTGGGAAGGGCTGGAGAAAAGCTCCGGGAGGCTCCCCGGCTGGATCAGCTGCCTTGGCCCCGGGGGGCTCAGGGAACCGGGTGCCAAGCATCTGGGCTTGTGCACCAGGCTGGCAGCTCCCAGCATGGGGGGGCAGGAGCCCGTGACTTCCCAGAGCCGGCAGGGACAGTGGGGTGTCGCGAGGTGCTCAAAGGGGGCCCCGCACCTCGAAGAGCCACTTGTTTGCGGTCAAGAATTTGGGCCCCGGCCTCCGGTTTCCCACCCGAGGGTGCGGGTCATTGCCCTGCCCGGGGAATGCGGAGCTGCTGCCCCCGAGGGATCCAGGCCCCAGTGCCCACCCCTGCGACAGCAGGGCCCTGCTGCAAGGCGGGTTTGCTGCGCCTGGAGGGGCCTGGCCTGACAAGGGCTCGGCCAGAGGGAAACAAGGAGAGCAAGCATGCGCCGAGCCCAGCTGCATGCGTCCGTTCCCCCCCCACCCCCGGCTCAGGCGCTGCAGCGGCTCCCCTCTAGCGGCCAACTGCACGCACACAGGCCCCTGCATCGGCTGCGCCTCCTGGCCCTGCGCCTCCCAGCACAGACGCGCTGCAGCCGGCCCGAGCCCCAGGCTCCTTCCTGGCCTGGCTTGCCGTCCCGAGCAGAGCCGGGCCGAGAGGAGGCTGGCAGCCGCGCGGCCTAGTGCCTGGAGCACAGGGCAGGGACTTAGGAGCTATTCCTAGCACCGCCCGAGCCCCGTGCCTCAGCTTTCCCAGCTGTGAAATGAGAGCACCGACCCCGAGCTGGGGGTGAGGAGCCAGGGAGCGTCCTGCAACCATCTCCTAAGCCTACAGCAGCTGTGCGGGCACCACAGGGCTCTTGCAACTGGTGCCAGCTGTGCCGCCGGCCTGCAATGGGCTCTATTAATGCCCCCCCTGCACCCTCGCAGGCATCTGCCCTCATGCAAAGCCCCTGCCCGGGGGTGTCGCTGCTGCCTGCTCTAGAAAGGGGGACAGGCAGCCAGGGACTGCCCCCCACCCCACACAGCCCCCGAGCCAGGGTTTCTAAGGCAGGGAGGCTGGGGCAGCAGGGGCATTTGCTACCAGGATGTGGCTTGTTCTGCTTTCCCCGAGTCGGCGCCAGGGCCGAGCGCGAGACCCCGCGGCGCCTGGCCCGTGGTGTGAACCCAGGGCTGGCGGGGGGTTGCACACGGATTAGGACGCCTGCCCTGTTCACGCTCCAGTTCCTTCAGGAGGATTAGGGGAAAGGCTGTTTCCCAGGCGCGGCCCGGGGCGGCTTGCTGCAGCTCCTGGAACGGCTCCTCGCGTCTCCCCGCTGGTCTGAGCCCCAAAACGTGGACCCCCACGCCGCACCACGCCACCCCAGCTGCGGGGCTGCTTGCCTCGGGACCCCGCTGCCTGCTCACGGGGTGCGAGCCGCGGGGTGCTGAGCCCCCATTTCACGCAAGGACCTTGGTTGGGCTGGTGGCTGCAGCAGCAGCTCAGGCCACAAGGACTGACCCCTGCCCTGCACGGTCCAGCACCCCCAATTAAACAAGCCCACGAGACAAAGCCGACCAGGCAGGGAGAGACCTCCCTCCCCGTCCTGTTTGCTTTCTGAGACGCTGCTGCAATGCTTGTCTGTAGGCCCCTTCCCTGCCCGGCTCATCCCAGGACTCCCAGCCCTGGTGCTTCACGACGCAGCCGGCACCGCAGCGCTGCTGCTGCGTCCCCCCACCTCCAGGCATTGCCTCCCCCCCGAGGGATCGCCCCCATGCCTCGAGGACAGGTGTGGAGGACTCTGCTCCTGCGGCAGGTACTCACCAGCTGGATGCAGGCGGAGGTTGCAGGGTTGCTATAGGGCTCCAGCAGCCCAGCTCTGCCCAATTTATAGGGTCAGCCCCTTCCCCTGCAAGGCATGCTGGGAAAAGGCTCGGTGAGGGGGCAAACCTGCCCCAGGCGCTGGGGCGAGGGGTATCTGCATCTGCCAGCATGAGGTGGCATTGGGGGCAAGGCTCTGCCTTGATATCCCAAGGTGCTGGGTTTGAGTCTAGGTCCTAGCCTAACTGCTGCCTATATGGGGGAGCGTCAGGGGCAATAATAATGCCTGCATGGGGTGCTCCTCTTCTCCCAGCCCTAAGTGCCCTGGCATTACCAGCTCCAAGCTTTTTGCGCCGAGGCAACACCCCCCTGCTCCCCAGCTGATCAAAGGGACAGAGCTGCACAGGGGCCCAGCCAGCAGCTGGTGCAGCTCATTTCAAAAGAAGAATCCAGGCCCCATCCCCGCGTGGTTGCACCGCGACACATGGGCAGCAGTGTGCAAACCCCCCGTGCTGCCCAGCCTGGGAGCCAGGCACGCTTGCATGCTTGGCAGGGCAGAGGACTGGGGCATTGCAGCTGTATTATTGACCCCCAGCTCAGCTCTGCTGCCCCCAGGCCTAGAGATGCCTGGGGGGGGCGAGGAAAGGGCACCAAGCCCTGGCTCTGCCCGTGACCTGGGGTGCACCGTGTGGCCCCTCTTTGTGGGAGATGCATTCACTTGGCGCCCCCGCCCGGCACCTTGCTGCAGCCTGCAGCAGGGCAGGAATGGCAGGGCACGGCCTGGGCTCTGATGCACGGAGGGGGGATGGTTTGGCTCCTTGAGGGCGTTACCACCCAGCTCCCCTGGGCAGCCCGGCTGCAGGGCGATGGCAGGGAGAGGCCCTGATCCTGGCTGGGACCTGTGGGCATCACCTTGAGCCCATGGGCCGCCCAGGGCAGTGCTGATCCACGTCCAGAAAGAACTGGGAGACGGAGGAAAAGCCGCAGGTTTCTTTTGTGTGAGTAGAAAATACAAAAACCAACCGGAGGGAAGCTGGGGAACGGGGTGCTGGCTCAGCTGGGTAGGGATAGGGGTGCAGGCATGAAGCAGGGGCTGGCACACGGGGTCCTGCCCTCCTCCAGGCTCAGGATGACACTGGACATGGGGGCAATTCTCAAGGGGGGAATAATCAAGAGGGGGAAGCCCCTGGTAGCTGCCTTGCTCCAGAGCGGGGTCCCGGCTCATCGGCCTTTCCTGGGCGATCCACGCAGCGACGGCAGAGCTCCCATCGCAGGGCCGAGGGGAGCAGCACCCGTGCCTGGGCTGACCCCAGCCCCCTGCATGGGCGAGGACTGGTCGCCAGTGCCCGGCCAGGAAAGCCCCCGGGATCATGGTAAAAACAGGCTCATTTACACGTATGTACACATTTACAGGTGAAGGCACGAGCCAGCTCCAGGGCGTGGTGCCCTCAGCCAGCTCCAGGGCATTACCGGTGCCCACTGGGATGCCGTTATGGACTGCAGGGGGTCACGGTCATGCCCATGGCCATCCACAGAGCTGTCTTGAGTCTTGCCACGGCCCTGCTCAGCTGGGCATGGTTTGGAAGTGGCACGAAGGCAGAGGCTCTGCTTGTCGAAAACGTATGTACAACGGGGCACAGGTGGCACCGGGTCCGAGTCTTTGGCATCTCCGGGATGCAGAGGCTGATCCTAGCACCGGGCAGCTGCTACCCGCCCCCGTCAGGGTCCGGCTGCCCGCCCTGCCCTGCCGGGCTACCCCCGCAGCTTGTCGTAGTCGCTCACCATCCGCTTGATGTGGAACAGCTTGTTGCGCAGGGACTTGGTCTCCAGCTTCTTGGTCTGGTAGTCGGGGCTCTGGAGGAGAAGCCAGAGGGGCGGGGAGGGGGTCAGAGCCGACGGGGGCAGTGGGCGCTCGTACCCGAAGGGCCGAGCCATGGAGGGGGATAAAAGCCTCCTACTGCTCCTCGCTCCCCAGCTGCAGACTCGTGGCTGCAGGACCCCAGGCCTCGGTACCCACCACGGTCAACGGTTCTCTATGGGTTTGGCCCGCTGGGCGCTTGGCTCTGGAAACTGGCCCGTCTGCACTGCGCAGCCCCCCCAGACCCAGCTCAGACCCACCCAGGTTGCAAACAGGCTCTGAGCCCTGGCTGCCAGCGCTACGGGCACAACCCGCCAGGCTCTACCGGCTCCAGGGAAAGCGTGTTTCTGCCCCCGAGCTCAGCTGGCCTGGCTCCCATGCCCCGTGGGGAGCGGGCAGCGGAGCAGAAAGGGCTCTGCAGCTGCGCCCCGGGCAGCAGACGGGCAGGGCTGGCGCTGGGCAGAGCCACGCAGGCCTCTCTGCCAGCATGCCGCTTGCCCGGCTCTGCTGCACGGCGTAACCGGACACCGCGGCGGCCGGTGCATGGAGCCGTAACCGGAGCCGGGCCTGACCGCCGGGTCACGGGTGTGTATGTTACCGTGTCATGTGGATGCACAGGGAGTGTGGGGGTGAAGGGGGCTGCTGCCAGGGCCAGTACAGGGCCCTCATCCTTGCCACATGTCCACCCTCATTGCCCCCGGCTAAGGCACTTTGCTGCTAATAAGAGGGGGCTCCCAGCCCCTTGGGGGTCCCTGACATAAGGTTTGCTCTGTCCTAAAGCTTCAGGGGGGAGAGACCCTGGAAAGGCCCAACCAGCAGATGTGGAGGGCTCCAGGGGTGCCGTGGAGGTTGCATCCCCAGGCTGCAAAGCCAGAGCAGGAGAGGCCGGGGCTTTGCAGCAGTTCTTCCCAGCCCGGGCATTAGAGCTGGTTTATGGGACATGCTGGGTGCTGGCAACGCCCCGCGGGGACATGGGGACTGCTGTTCAGGGGGTGAGAGGCGAAGGGGCATCATGGTGCATGGGCTGCTCCATGCCACGGCCCGTATGCACGCAGCTGCTCCTGGGTAACTGGAAGCTGCACCGCAGCCCTTGGGGGAAGAGGGGCAGACGCCTGGGGTAAAAAGCAGGCAGGTGGGTAGGTCCTGCTGAGGGGCTGGTGCAGGGCAGAGCCCCAGCACCCTCTGCTCCACCATGGCTGCTTGTGGGATCTCATCCTAGAGCTCATTCAGGTGAATGGCCGTGCACCCAATGGCACCAGCTACAGTGTGGGGGGGGCGCAAGGGCAGCCTCTGTGTGGGGCACGTGGCAGAGAGGAAAGGGGACAAGCAGCACAGGAGCAAACAGAGCAGGGAGCAGAAAGCAGAGCAGCAGACCGGGTGGGGGAAGGGGATCGGAGTGGCACGCGGGGGGAGCAGGGCTAATCTGTAGCCCTTGGGCAGAGCAGAGACAGACAGGGGAACTGGGGGTGCTGGCAGACCGGGGGAGCTCACCCGCTTCAAGTCCTTCAGCCGGTTGTACTCCTCAGCAACGCCCTGCGGGAGACACGCGGGAGGGACACGTCATGCGCTGGGCCACGGGGCTGCCACAGGCAGGGACCCACCCCGGCTCCCACACCCACGGGCCCTGGCACAGCATAGCACAGCGCTGCCTGCGGACGTGAGCACGGGCCGGGGCACAGGCACCGGCAAATCCCCTCCGGTGTCCGTGGGAGCAGGATTGGGCCCCAAATCAGCCCCATGTGGGTCTGCTACAGACCCCGAGCCACGAGGGGCTCTCACTGCGGGTGCCCGCTGCAGCTGCTCTCTTCCCGGGCGCGGGTTGGGCCCGAGTCCCCTGGGGGCAGCACAGTCTGCTCGTGGCTTGGGGTGGGGGCTGGGAAGGCACCGGCCTGGGAGCCCAGTTCAGCTCCTGGCTCTGCTGCCAGTTCCCCCAGGCATGGCGCGGCCTCTCTTCAGGCCTCAGTCTTACAGCTCTAAAATGGGCGCAATGCCCTCCCTCTGTGTACACGGCTGGTCCATGCAGGTGCTGTGGGCCCAGCCCCGAAGCATTCCCTGTAGCTAATCCACCCCAGGACCTCCTGGAAACCCCGGTCAGGCCTGGTACCTGGTACTGGGGGCTGTCCTCCGAGAGGCTGTCCAGCTGCTTGCTCAGCTGGTTCAGCTCATCGTTGATGTTGTCCATCTCGGCGCAGAGCTGCTTGTAGTGCTTGAGGTCCACGTCGAACTCCTGCTTGTACTCCTGCCGGGCACCGTCCGAGGTGATCGGGGGGTACACGCTGCCCAGGGAGGGGAGACAAACACACGTCGGACTCTGGAGCTCGAGCACGCGGCGCTTGGTCCCCAGCGTGGCACAGCTGCGGGATCGTCAGGCCCAAGGTGCCCCCAGTTACGGGCAGACAAGACTATCCCCCGGGCCAGTGGATCCCCGTGGCTCAGGGAGGGAAGGATGGAGCCAGCATGGCGTCCAGCCGCCCCGCTCACCTGCTCCACTCATCCTTGTCGCGCTCGTCGCTGGACTCCATGGCCGTGGTGTAGTCCGTCTCGTACTGCGACTCGTCCAGCTCGGGGTTGCGCCTGCGGCGCCGGCCCCGCCGGGCAGATGGCCGGCTGGTGCTCTCCCGACCCTTCTCCTCCAGCATGCTGGTGCTAAAGGTCGTAGCCGGCTGGCCCTCGCTCACGGGGGCAGGGGAGCTACCGGGGGAAGCCACGGGTCAGGCTAGATCCTCCAACCCCATCAAGCAGGGGGTGCCATCCAGGTGCGAGCCCCCCATATTAGTGGGTGGCAGCATGGCAAGGCTGGAGCGAGACCGGGAAGCCCAGCTCTGGGCCTGGAGAGGCTGGCTGCCTGCAGCCTGTGGCCCCCGCACCCCCAACCCAACTCTCCGGCCCCCGGCGCTGTTATCCGCCAAGGCGGGGCCCCCGAGCGATGCATCCCAGCTGCACCAGGGCGCAACATCTGCCCGTGGGACAAGGTGGGAGAAGGATTCGGACCCAGGCCCCCGTGCCAGGCAGCCCACCTGGCGGTGTGGTAGTTCTCGGGGACGTAGTAGGTGCTCGGCGGGGGCGGGTAGCTGTAGGCGCTGGGTGCGGCGTGCACGGGGCTGGTCGGCTTCTCGGAGTAGGCCAGCGTGGCCGTCTCGTCGTGGGTGCTGGTGCCATTGGCGACGTTCTTCACCTGGGAAGCGGTGAGGGGTGGGAGGCTCAGTCCGTGCCTGGCCGAGACCTGGGGCAGCCTCGGGGGCCAGGGGAAGCAATGCCAGCCCCTGCCCGAGGGAGCTGGGGGGGATGGACTAGCTGGGGTGCCTGGCAGCTCAGAGGGGTGGTAGTAGCGGGGAATGCAGGGCTGGGGGTGCAGGGTCGCTGGCCCACCCAGCCCTGCTATGCACACAGCAGTGGGAGAAAAGGGGCCGTGCGCCTGGTACGTGCCCCGTGCCCGCAGGAGCCGGGTGCACAAAGGCACTTCCCCACCGAGAGCCTTCTTATCAGGCTGGGCGGAGGCGTGATAAGCTCACACACCCCCTGGGCAAACAGCCCCTGCCACCGAAACTGCCCCACCCCGCAGAGAGGGTCAGGGGGGAGCTGGCACCGCTCCTCCGGGCACAGCTGCAGCGCGGACCTGCTCCAGGCTCCCACGCATGCCACGTGCTGGACAGCCAGGTTGATCCCTGGATGGGGAAACTGAGGCACGAGGCAGCCATGTGGCCTGCCCAGCTCCAGCTGAGCTCCCCCCAGCCCAGTCTCTCAGCTGCCCTTTGCCACTTTAGGACCTCTCTGTTGCGAGACAGGAGGGAGAGGGGCCCGTGGCCGCTCTGGGGGAAGTAAGAGACCCCAGTCCGGAGCCTGGGGGTCCATGGCTCTGACCGCACCCCAGGCCCCCTTCTCTGCTGCGCCAGGCGTGAAGGGGGGACGGATGAAGGATGCCTCTGCTAATGGCCCTGCCTGGGAGGCAGAAGGGGGCTGGGGAAGGGGCACTCCCGGGGACAGGGCAGGGACGGGGAGATTCCTCCGCCGAAGGCAGGTCCGGCCCAGCCCAGCCCCAGGGACACGTCCTCATCCTCGTCCTCCTGCACAAGCACCCTGCAGCGGCCGGTCCCACCTCCCACCAAAGGCATTTCCTAGCCCCGCCGGAAAGGCGCTGGGGGCTGCAATGGGATGTGCATGGGGCTGGGCCTGGCCACGGTCACGTCTCACCCCGAGGAGGCCAAGGCATGGGGCGGGGAGGGAGGCAGATATCTTAAAGGCTCGGATGTCCCCCCCCACTGCTTCCTTCCTTCCTTGCTGGCCCTTTGTGGCCTGCCAAGAGCAGCCCTGTGCTGGGAACGGGAGCAGTGCTCCTTCCATGTCCTCGGAGAGCTGGGGAGGAGGGTGCTGGGGCCTGGGACCAGCGCTCACTTCTCCCTGCTCAGCTGCATGACCTGGAGCCAGACTCCTGACCCCAGCTCCAGCTGGTCCCGCGGCTCCTGGAGGACAGGCCGCCCTTGAGCCATGCTTGCCGTGCCCACGCGCCAGCGTTGACGCCCTGTCGAAGGTCGCCCATTTATCACAGCCCGGGCGATAACCAGGGGACAGGACGTGCTGGCTGCATGTTCATCTCCTGGGTGCTAAGGACAGAGCCCGGGGCTGGAAGGGGACCATGCCCTTCCCCGGAGCCGCCCCAGCCCTGTTTGCACCACGGTCGGCTTGGGGCTGCTCCAGACTCCTCCGAGCCAGCGATGTGGGTGCTGGGAGCAGGGTCCCACGGGGAAGGTCACAGGACCTTGGCGCCGAGGCCTCATACTGGGGGGAAATGGCTTCACGGCGCGGCCCCTTTCAGCTGCCTGCAACCCCCCAGCCCGGCGTCACCTGCACCATGGCTGGCCCCGGCCGTGTGACGCTGCCAGCCCAGCCGGGCAGGGAAAGCGCTGCGGGTTAATCATTGACCAGACCGAAACTGGCCCGTGTGCAAGGCAAACACCTGTGCACGGGGCAGGCCGAGAGCAGAGCAGAGAGCTGCGTGCCAGGCCGACCGGATCCGACCAGGCAGATTGGCCCGGCCCTGCCCTCGACAGCCTTCCTCCACAGGCCAGCTTGGCTCCCGCCTGCAGCGGGTCAGGAGCGGGCACGCAGACAACCACTGCAGGATTTAGTGTTAGCCCCCTTCCCCTCCGAACCTGGCAGCAAACAGCTTGCGTGTGCATGCTCTGGCCTGCCCAGGTCACCCTGCAACAGGAACCAGATCCCTCAGCCAACCTGAAAGCCCCCGAAGCTGCGAGGAGGTGTTGACTCTGGAGCCTACTGATGACGGCCTGCGTGCCCATGCTTTTAACTGCTTCTCTGCTGGCCAGGACTCACCCACTCCTCCACGTTGGGGCCCTCCTGCATGGCCAGCGGCTTGTCCCAGTAGATGTTCGGCTTCCCATACTGCCAGATCTTGCTGCGGGTCTTGTGAGCGAAGAAGCAGACGACGCAGAGGATAATGACGATGAGGAACCCGCAGACGATAGCGATAGCCTGGAAGAGAGCAGGGGACCCCCCTCCATTAGTTGGGGGATCTGCCCCGACCCCCACCACCAAACCCAGGACCTGCTGTGTTGCACCACAGGCCGCTCCCAGGGAGCTAAAGGAGGAGCTCCATGACACGCTAGCAGCAGGAGGTTGTTGTCCTCTGCTCAAAAGACCAGGCACACACACCTAATACACCCGGAGATCTTGCTCCAGTCCATACAGAGGGGCCAAACGACCATGACTTCAAACATGACTCAATGAACAGCTGGGGGGGGGGGGGGGGGGGGGGGCGGCCCC